CTCGCGGTGTCGTACCGATTTATCGAGCCAGTGCTGCTGTCCTCCCAGACAAGTTTGGTATCAATTTGCCGACTCCGGAGGGATGGAAGTGTTGGTGGGCCTTGGGCGCGGGGATCGATTCCACCTGTGTGTCGCAGTGGCGCCTCCAACCACTTTGTAACAAGCGCCCCAGTTAATCGTACACCACTTTAAATCGTAGAGTTCGGTCAATGTATTTAAATCTTCTCCGCCCTAAGTTTTCTATACAACTCTGTAATGTCTATAGCACCCAAGTCTTCATGTCATCAAAACATAATCGGCTATTGTTAAACAACCAGAAAAACCATGAAAGAATGAAATTAGAGATAGTCCACGATGCCGCGAACCAAAATTAGGCATCGTCGCATAAATGTTAGGGAGCTTCATAAAGATTTTATGGGATGAATATTAAGTAATATCATGGAAAAACCTAGGAAAAACACTGCGCGCACGATGTGAAAATGTTTTTATGCAAGAAAGATTCATTTAAAGAACCTTTCTCTGACTATTTCGATCACGTGTGGTGCTCAACAGGCTCCTGCGTCTTATTCGAAGTGTTCTCCCAATCAGCCTGCTTTGCTCCCTCATTCGGTACTTTATAAGATCTTTAATGCACGAACTGAATGGTCCAGTACGAGAACAAAATTTCGAAAGTAAGCTTTCAAACTTCTCATTCCAGTGGGCCGTTTTTACAAGACCAGGTATTTTTTCCTGCTTCAGCTCGGCTAATGCCTTCACAGAATGTGTCGCAGTGAGTGTCCTTTTTCCGGTTGATAATGTCGCCGTTTAATTGGTGTTTTTCAGAATAATCCAACTGCCACCAATATACATGCGTGATTAGTGTGGGGTTCGTTTCAAAGCAGTTGCTCGGTGGAAAAAACTCTATTATCGTTTTCAGCGTCTCTCCATGAATATTCTGCTAATCCGCCAGGAGAAAAACCATTCCAATTTTCCCTGACAAGTAATCTCAGCTTTATATCTTAGATGATGGTAGACGACGAAAAGGTGAACACTTCACACCTGATTGATGTTGTTGTTCGCAAAAGATTTAACCCTAAGTGTATACTTACTACTTGATGTCTTACACTATTAAAATACTTTGCTTTTCCGGTGGTTTTGGGACGTTAAGCTGCATGTAATACCGAGTATGGCTTCGTTTAACACTCTAGTGACAAATGACCCCTATAGGTGTCGTAGTGTTTTTGCGGGAATGAGAGTTATGAACCTATGGGTCTCATTTTCCTTCAGATTATTTATTTTAACACATAAAACATTTTGCTCTCAGTTGACAGCTTGCAGAACTACTTGAAAATAGGTAAAAACTACTGAATGAGATCAATAGTACTTATCGTAGTGTGCGCTTACAAAAATTCCGAAAATGAGACCCATAAGTTGCGAAACACTTCCAAATGCTGACAGTGACGTGTTTGTGTGATGGACCATAAATAACACATAGTAAATAGTCCCAGAATTATCATTCATGCACACAGGACCATACAGCTAAATCATTCCTAGAATCCATTTACGCTGAAAACCTGCGAAGTCCTCTAGTTACTGAGCAATTATTGTTTATTTTCAAAGAACCTGCAAGTCCATGAAGGCTGAAAACTAGGCGACGTCGAGTCCGTGACAAATTCGAGATCGTCCCCAGTGTGTTAAAAAAATCTATGAAAGAGATGTCGAAAAATAAACGCCTCTACCATATAAATCGTTCCCGCCAAAAGCATTTTTAGTACGATTTTAACAATTTCATAATTTAATAAGTTATTTCCCATAATTTTTCAATTTTCCTCACAATAACTATAACACCATGACCAAGCTTTGAAGGCGAATTTACGTTGCAGTGATGCGCTGTGATTAGTGGTGCCTTGTGCTGCATACAGGTTTTTCGGTTTAATGTCGAATCCAGAGCAAATAAAGTCCTTCATCTTTTCGGGGCCGGGAAATTGGTACGGGTCTTGTATGGGATTATGAAATCACTGACTTGATATTTCTAGGTTTTTACAAATCTTCATTGAGCAAATCTCAGTAAAGGTGAAAGACCAGATTCTTACCATGAGTTGTCATTAAGAGTTTGAAGACATGACCAGAAAGCTAGTGAGAAAGCACCAGAGAAAACCTACTTTGAGATGTGAAGCGCGACCTACACACACTTCTGTCAACAGGCATAACGTCGTGTCATTAAAATGAAAGGATGACTAACCAGTAGAGGAATTCGCGCACCGCGGGTCAATTTGCTCCACATAAAAGCAGTGCCAGGAGGGATCTTGGCAACTACCGCTAAATTTGTTCGTTGAGTGCGTTTTACAAGCTATGCGCTTAAATTATTCTACCCTATGAAAAAATGATTCTGATTAAAATTCATGGGCTGATCACAATTGGTCCAACAAAGATTCTGATGTATGGCTCCCACAATAAATAGTCCCGCAAGCATGACCTAAAAGCAGAATATTGAATATCGAGCTGGTATATGCAATTCACGCCTTTGAAAAGTGTTATGTCTTTGAAATCCAGACGATTTCTCTATGTGTACCCTCCGAATGTATGTCAGAGATTGTCTGGTTACGTCATGAGAAAAGTTGCAGAGGGATAGATGAGAACAGAGGTGACTACTTTTACATCTTAGTAAATTAAATAAGACAAACAATTTTTCCTACAATTGGATTTTGGATTTTTTCAAATAGGAAGATATACCACTTAGAGTATTTCTCGCAGTGGTCGGAAGCGCCCTGCAACACATATGTGGAGTCGATCCCTGGGCTCATGGCCCACCAAGCCTTCCATCTCTCTGTGGTCGGCGAATACCAGACTTGCCTGGGAGGATAGCAGCACTGGCTCAATACATCGGTAGGCCACTGCGAGTGTAAAGGCCACTGTAAAGGCCCACCGTAAAGGCCAGATATGCATCCAATCACCCTAACGATGTTTAATGAAGTCGAATGCATTGCGCATCTCTCAGTGATTGATAATACCGAATGCTTTATCCTTCTTTTATACCACTTAGGGTTTCTCAGCGTCGCTGCTCAAAGTCACATAGCCACGACAGAAAGAAAGTTTCGCATGTAGCGCCCGTCGAAATAGGCCTGGAGTGGGATATGACTACAATATAAAATTGTGTGATAGAATGTGATGTATTGAGAATTACTGTCAGTAACAAATTATACAATATAAATATAGTGGAAGTGTAAGTGAAGGGTTTTTCATTGCAGTCCCCTTATGAAAGAATTTCAAACGGAATGTGTATAATTATATGCTTGGTGGTGTATGGCGATCTTCCACTCAAGTCGATAAGAAGGGTGAGTTCTGGTTCGCGAAAACTTTCCATTGTTCTGCAAATGCTCTCATATTTTTCAGACAATCAGGCTTAAAAGAGCGCTCTCACATCAGACTCCGCAAGAGGCAAAGCGATTTTGTGGTAATGCATCACGGAAAAACTTCTCTTATAAAGTAGACTGGGATAAATTAGTAGACGTCTTGACTTTTTGAAAGCCACAGGGTTTCATTAATCTATCCAATCTCTTCACTGGAGAAAGATTTTACGACAACGCCGCCAACGCTACACGTCCTTCTTCTGTGATGGCCGCGCCGCCTACTGAATTCACTTCACAGAACCAGAACGGTAACGTGGCCGATCTAAATCGCTATTTTTGTGCTTTAACATTTTAACAACTTAGATTTTCTTCTTCTACATTATGAAAATCTGCTACAGTAGCTTTTGGGTGTTCTCCACAGACTTTTGAAATTAGCATTTTCGTTTTACTTTGCAACATTTCCTAATCGCGTTACAAAGTCACAGCAATTGAGGAAGCTCCACTCATAACACTTCGTTTTTCACTGCTATTCTATTGGACATACGAGGGCTACGAAAGAATGAGATTCATGCACAGCATTTTTATTAAGCGATTCCCTTAATGCCGAAACATCCTACTAAGTAAATAAATATTAGTGAAGTACGTTACGGGATGATGGTCGAAGACAGGAGAAGTGTATGAAGTGGAAGGAAGATTCTAATAATAAAATATTGCTCGAAAAGTGGCTGGAAATGTTCGCTATTGAATTTGCCTTTTTACGCTGGAAACGGCTGTAGGTCTTCAGTGGACTGAAAAGCCTAATTCAATGGATGGCCTTCTTCAAAGCAGTTACTTCTCATTTTGCTTCACTGTTTACGACGTCGTAGAAGTCATCATATCCTTTCTAATTTCCTACATTCTTTCTTTTCCTATACTTATAAGGGCTAGATTTTTGCATGTATCGGAATTTTTAAATTTTTTCCCATCACATTGTAGCCTTGAAGGTCTACCTCAGTGTCTCCTTCACTTCGTTTCCTCTTTTTCCCTGGCCAAATAAAATTTCGATTGAAGCACGAAAACATTTCTCTTCCTTCCGACTTGAGTTTGCTGCTTTGATTTTTTTTTAACATCAAACATTCTTATGACAATGACAATCTCATAAATAAGTCATTTCTCACGGTGGATTTAGCTGAGGATCTGCGGCAAGCACTCGTGGGGCTTCTAGGAGCGCTCGACAACAATACCGCCAGCACTGCTATTTTTCAAATAAAGTTTGTTCTTTTGAAGCGTAGACGTCTGAACTAAATAGTATTTTAAAACTTTGTGAGTAAAAAATTATTCTTACATGGTTTGTACCTTTTGAGCTTATTCTGTTCTTAATGGAGCATACTCTACCAGCTGTGTTGGGTTGGATTCTTCCATGGCAACAGTCCTTCAGTGCTTATATTTCGTTATCATCTTCATTAACTAACATTTATACGGGCCTCCCACTTCAATTATTGCATTTCTCGGTGCAATTATCTCAACGCAGACTTTCCGCTCCAATTGGAATAGTATCGTGTTTTAAAGCCGAATTATTCCTTAGAACACAACATGAAACTTGTTTTTGTAAATGTTGACATCCTCTCTACAATTCACTTACTTCTTCAAGGGTTTTTTTCGAAGAAACGTTACAGGAACAGTGTTATGAGAATGTCAGAAGACCGGAAACCTTCTCAACAACAGTTTCCAATATTTAAACTACGCATGCTTAAGTAAGGCTTATTTGGCGTCATCAGAAACTAAAAATCTGCTAAAAGAATCATGCCAGTTTTTCGTTCTGGACAAATTCTGTCTGCTAGGCGACAATACGGGGTCATCCGAAGCGTTGTTCAACTTTCCACAGTTCACATTCGTATGGAAATCCTCACACATTTATGAGAATCTGGAGCGGTACTGGCCTTCCTACGAGCACAGAATTCGAGTTCGCACTGCTTCATTTCACGTGTGCTAAAAGTGAATCTGTGCGATTTTTCTCCCCAAAGAAAACTGGCTTATGGCTCAGCGCGTTTTCGTCATCTGTTAGCTAAGAACTACATGTCTTTCGTCATGCAACTTTTCAATCCAGGCAAACGAATCGCCTAATTCAGTTCGAACCCTATCGGGCATCTCTTCGTTTTGTGAATGTCTGTTCTGATTTGAGTTTCTGAAACATTCAGTCCTCCACACGAAGAAATCGAGCTGGAGCTTGTCAACGTGCTGTGCTTGCTCCATGCGTAAGGGATTTTGATAAAATACAAAGTCAAAAACTCCAGGCGTTTCAAATAGACGTACTGGCTACTGGTTCGTCTCATCTCGCCCGCTTTTGCTGGAAGAAGACGAATCACCGGATATACAGCGCATCTCACTCTCATTCTTTTCTTTTCGAAATTCTCCCTAAGATGTCATAACATTGGGTATTTCCGCTCCAGTCATTATAACTGCCTCTGTTGCAAGTAAGACTTCAACCGTACTAAATATGTTGTACAAAAACTTTCTTTATCGAAGTGTCAGTGTTTACTTTTTTAAGGGAGCTTTCCCACTTCAGCGCGTGTTTCTGCTACCTGTTGTTACCAGATTTACTTCACTGATTCCTTAGGAAACTATTTAGCAGTGGCATAGAATTGATTTCTGCGACTGAGCTCACAAAATAGCTCCTGTTTATTTTGGAAAAGGGAAAGTGTCGAAAAGAAACCGTCATTTGTACGTAAACAGTCTTTGTTTTTGAGTTAAATGGCGCTCATACTCCTGCGAAGTCCATCAGGAATCGAGTAATTTTCAACATACTCGTTTACGAAGGCTGAAACACTCCCACCGCTGGCTGGCTTTCGCAAGTTAATTGTGCCATCCAAATTCACATTTACTTCGTTGAAGAGTCCATAAATGGGGAAAAAGTGTTTCGTAGCATCTTGCAGAATTTGATCGGTGCCAGGAGCTTTTCTTTTATTCTCAGCCCTAGTTTATGGTCACACGTCATGTAATTATTGCTAATATGTTGTACAACTTTTTTTCATGGGTAACTTTTATTATTTCTTTAGGTAATTTTATTGCAGAGAAGGTTGGAATACTATCTGTGTTTTGAGCACCACCGTTCCTTGGTGGCTACGCTAAATTAAGAGCTACGTGTGTCAAATTTTTTAGAGCCTGTGGTATATCTTGTTTTCAAAAGTAAGAATTGCTTCACCACACTGCTCCCCATTTGGCTTGTAGTGGCGCTTTTGCAGATTTTTTCCCTAATTGAGCTAGTAGTTGGCAAAGATTTATGAGGACTTCTTCTAGAGAACGCATGGGGCTTTCCTGTTAAGCTGACGTCATTACGTATCCACTGTTGATGAGAATTAGGCCAACCTAAGTTTTCTAGCAGTGGCTTATATAACAATTTTTGTATCCCAATGGGTTTAATCCCAGTCTCTCGAGTGTTTTCGCCATTGTGGATGACTAGTTATTATTTGAGTTAAAAGCCCTATTCATTGACAGGATTCGGTTTCTACATTGTTCTTGAGCGGTCGGTTACTTTTTCATTTCCACTCGTGAAGACGGACCGTCCAAGTATCCAAGTAGGACTTATATAACACCTTTCATATAACGATGACAGAGTTGCAGGAGATTGCGCCTAATATTATAATTTTAGTTGACGATAGGGTAGCAATGATCAGTTAACGAACTCTTAACTCATTCCGTTTCCTTGAAATTCATTTTACTATCGTTTTCTTAGTGGTGCTTGGAATTCTCGTGCAAAACACCAATCATGTCACAGTCTTGAAAAAAGTTCCACAAACCTTTCTAATAAAAAGAATTTTGGCTCAACTAGTTTTGAAGCTAGATATAGCACCTATGGTCGATAGACTGAACACGGACAAAAGCCGACCATAAGCTGCTTCTGAGTAGTGGATGGACTCATTAATAGGTTCCTCGCCTCCAATACATCAAACTGATATTTAACCTCCGCATACGCATATTAGATATGTGGGTGCATGTATTTTTGAACATACGATTGTATCGTACACGTCAATTTGTCAAGGGGATTCAGTGAAGTAGCTGGACATTACATAGTCAACGCTTATGTGTTGCCTCCCGCGCCTAAGTCCACTCTACTTTTGCGGAGCTCTAAAAGCCACCCATGGCTTCATCTATCAGCAGATATTGGCCAGGTAACAATAAAGAGCCTCTTAGAAGAAGTAGGTTCTCCTTCTCTTTTGATCAAATGTAGTCTAATGAGAGGCGCTATCACACGACATGAACCAAAGTAACTTGCACTGAAGTTAAATCAACTGATTCTCTGTTTAACGAGTTCGCAAACGGTACAGGATGGCAACATCATCAGTCGATTTCTTATGTTTGCCGTGTATTTCATTCCTGGATCGATTCCATGACATCCTACGAAGAGTTGCGCAAGAACCACTTGCCTTTTCGTCATTCAGACATCGCTGGTCTTATTAATCACCAAACACCATGTGTGGCTAAAAAGTAGTACCCTTTGGTTTAGAAGTGCATTGCTTAAAGCGAAGGATCTGAGTGCATCAACTTATAGAGCTCGTTCCTTTCTATTTGTTTTCTTTGGCTCCATCAAACATATTTCCTCCTTCTTGATAGAATCAAACTCCTCCTTTTTTGTGACATTCTTCAAATGCTTAATCATTTCTCGAGTAATCGTCTTCATCTCTTAGATTGTTCTCTTCGTTCTGCAACTTGTTTCTTTTCCCTTCTCTCTATCTTTTTTCTTTGCACCTTTTCTCGGTTCCAATACTTCGCGTTATGCCTTTTTCGTTTTCCACGATTCGAGCTTTACTGCTGGAAGTGTTCGTAAACACGAAATCCACTTTTACTTCGCAAAAATTTTCCTTTCAAATTTCAAGATTTTGGCTTCTCAAAGCTTTCTTCTTATTAACGATTATTATATAAAGCTTTCTCTGAGATGGCTGCGCATTTTATGAAAAGTCAACTCTAAACTGTACTGTACATCGGTATCGAGATAAGAAGATCCTGAAGCGAGGATGTCTCTCCCTTTTTGAATGAAACAAAATGTCTGAAAATTTTTTAAAACGAAAAGTAAGTCAGAGTATTTACAAATATTACCGTTTTCCATAGGCTCAAACACTAGCGTCCTCCGTAGGCTGTCAGGCTTTCTTGCTTGTCAAAACTTCTTACTTACTTGAGACTTGAATGGCCCCTCGTCACTAGTTGTGCTGGCCCCAGCATAACCACCATTTTTCGGAGATCTGCTGGTTAAGCCACTGTGGTTCTCTGGAATCCCGAGAACAGCGTGACCAAAGTCTGCCCCTTTGTCAAAATTGATGGCATTCAAATTGTTTGTCCCTTTAAAATAGTCACTTTGTTCCCAAATAACTGGCGATAATTTGTTGTGAGCTGAAGCACTCTCACTTGAGGACTTGAGAATTTAACACACTTATAGAAGAGGCTCCGTAACACTCCAAGCCTACTATTCCCTCGCTCTCTCATCGTATATAACCTATTGAAACTGTTATTTCCTTCCAAATTTGCTTAAACCGCAAAGTTTAACAAATTCTAAAGGGACTTCACTTTGCAAAACAATGTCTATATCCATGCTAATACCGCTTCAGTTTATTCAGATTTCAGTTGAGTAACCGAGGTAGTAATCGAAAGATAGCGATCCTTAACACATACTTTCATTTTATTCTAGCCTACTATCTAGAAAACGGTTGAAATTTCTATAAATGTTTTTATACTTTTATTGTTTCATTCACCGGAATGTTCGATCACATAGAGATTTCTATAAGTCCGAATTGGATTGCCTTCGTCTAAGAACTTTCTGTTTCCGGTGTGTTAAAAGCGCTGACCAGTCAGTGGTGCTCCAATCGTCCTCATCCGGCGATTCTCAACGATGGGCGCGGTTCTCGTTCAGTAACAGTAGTCGCCCGTTCAGAGAGTTCTGCTGCCAAGGAATTATCGCTGTTCACCTCCATAATGCTGGTCTACGAGATCTCTCTCTATATCGGATATCGAGTTCCGAGCTACATCGTCTTTGTTTGGGCATTTCTAAACACGCAGCCTTTTTTATCATGGTGAGATCGTTCGCAACGAATCCGCTTGACTATAAGTAAAATAAATTAAAAATCCCAACTAATTAAGCACTCTCGAAAAGCGATACGAGCTTTGTTTATGAGCTGACTTCACCTTTTAGTAAGTGGTGTGTAAGCAGTTTGTTGTCATCAAATCGTTGAAATCAGCAAACAACGTTCTAAAAAATACTTTAAATGCTATCACACTGTCAGTTAGGTGAACTTTTGAGAATACCATCTCAAAGCTATGAAACTTATCTTAGAACTAAACTGTAACTAGCGGCGCCAAAGTGTTCAAAGAAGAGTTGAAGAGATAAGAACAATTGAAAGGGATAACAGATTTCATATTGATTTACAAAAATATTAACTTGGAGACCCTCAGAAAATGGAACACTTTTCGAACTTCTTATTTTCTTTCGCTTTTCCTGAATCAAGCCAGAGTGCGGTTATTGTGTCTAAGCTTACAAAAAAATACAAAAAATACATTTTAAAGTGAAGCGGACGCATACTCGGATACGGAAATCATCAAGAAATTGCTGAACAAAGGCTACGATTGGCGTGTTCGTCCTCCAGGAATAAATCTAACAGTGAAAGGTTCTTATTAAGTTTTTTTCATAGAGTAAGGCAAATTTTTGATTAACGCCCTTAACATAAGATTGCTTGCACGTTTGTACTTCAATGTAAACTCAACATTTGGCTGCCCAGTGCCATGCAGCCGCGTTTTCTACCTTCTTGTGACAAGCATTTACTGGACTGTCTTCATAAAAGAAAGAACCAACTTTTGCACTATAAGGGAGATCCCCACGTTAAAAACAGCTGAATAGGCATTAGCTATCAGCGCATCGTTTAGAATTTTGTTTTATTGAAATGCCTCATCATTTTCGCCACACACAAAGTACACATGGTTAGGTTGGTTAAGGTGAAAAGACGCTTAGAAAGAAAAAACAATCTCTCTTCGTCTCTTTTTCTCAATAAATTACATCTTTCAGGAAGTCATGGTCCGGTCGTTGTCAGTGTCAACATGCTGATAAGAAGGTTCGTGTGACTTCCGTAGAACTCATATTTCTTGTAGATGAACAATTTTTCCACAGTTTTAATTCAGTCGTCCACTTTTGAAGAGAAATCCAAAATTCCAATGTGATAAAACGGAGCAGAACTCGGTTTTTCAAGTGAACTAAAAAGCCACGTAATTCGAGCGGTGAGATGTTCAACGCATGTGCCTCAGCTTTCCATGAAAGCATGAAGTGGTTGTATGGCCCTAACTGCTTCTGGGAGTCTTCTGCTCCTCTTCGCTTGAATCTACGTCTCGTCCGGGTTTTCTATTCTCGAAAAATCACATTGACAACATGAATTTCCAGGAAAGGAATTTATTAGATAACTTCCTTTGTCTTACAACACAGTACGTTTTGAAATATCATTGTTTTGTTGATGAGCAAGCAGGAGGTTGTTATTACTGCTGTTATCCACTCAAAGTAGTTAACGTTTCGGCAGTTTCGCCTTCTTCAGAGCCTGGAAAGGCCAAATTGACTTGCAATCCACTCAGCCGAGCACTTTCATGACCTCAGCAGATATTTTTGATATTTTCGCTCTCGAAAATGCCATTAAGCACCTTGTCTTTAATCACCTTTATCTTAATGCCATGGTGATAGTCTTTAAAAATCCACTCTCCTTATGATTGTAAACATCGAAGTGCAGAACACAGGCAAAGCATGTCTGTTTCTCAAATCCGATTTCAGTAACGAAAAAATTCTACTTTCTTTAAGGATGGCGAAAATCTCTTATATTCAGTAGTTTCAGGTAGTTTGTACCAAGTTCAGTATCTGTTTAAGTTTTCGGTTTTTTCTAGTTTGAAATCCTCTCCAGTAATCTGAACACGGTGAAATGTGAGAATGGCAGAAATCAGTGTGCCAGTAATTGACATCATTATTAGCGCCGAAGCCGATCGAACTGAAGACGACGAACTAACGAAGATTTTCTGACCAAATATACGATGGCAGCAGGGCGTGATTTCTTGTGAAGGATATCATTTGAAACTGGGTTTTCAAACTATTGAAGATTTTTGTTTCCTGGCAGGAGACTTATTATTGAATAATTCTTTATATTTGCTAAAAAGAAATATAAAGAATTATTCAATCAATACCGAGGTCAATAGCACCATTATAGAGTAAGACCGCCATTTTTTTGGCAATGACATCACAGCTATTATAGAATGGTCTTTAGCATTACTGTCATCCACTGCTCGACTTCAAGTTTGTCTCATACTATTTACGCAGCTTCTTTAATCTGCAAGCAAAGTTCAACGTCTTTAATAAGGTTATTGCCAAACGAATTAGCAAGCCAAGCACTCAATCGTGGTAGTGGAATCGAGACAGAGGTTGTGGACGACAAATTGGTACTAGAATCGTCTGGATGGTTAGCACACTGGCTCCATATGTTGGTTGGCTACTGTAGAACAGATATACATTCAGCTCAGTTTTAACTTACTTGATAAAGTCGAATACATGGCGCATCTATTAGGGATCTATCAGCAACCGGAACTTTACGCCATCACTCACTCCTAGCGATCTTCCATACATGAAAGAAAAAAAAACTACTTCATATGAAAGATAGTTAGTTCTGTGGACCTCACCAACCCTGACATAACTAGCAGAAGGGAGCTAGAATTTTTTTTATCATCGGTTGTATACGAATTACTTAAATTCCTCTATCATCCATAAATGATCCCACTAATGGTACTTTTACAGGTCGAAGGTAATTATCGTTCATAGAACTGCCACGCATTCCTAAACACTGAACGACCTTTTTAAGGACTTTTTATTTTTTGATTTGTTATACATAAGGCTATCACCTCTATGAAAAGTGCAAAACAAAATAAAGCAATTAGGTAGCGGATTACTCGTGATTCTACAGGGATAGCAGACGGAATTTAAAGTGTATCTTCTTGTCTTTTCAGTATTTCAAAGATCGACGACGTAAACATGGAGTACAGTGTTCAATTAACATTTCGCGAATCTTGGGTAGACGGTCGATTAGCCTATGGACTACCCGGCGACAATAAACCGGACTTTCTCATTCTCACAGCCGGGCAGCAGATCTGGATGCCCGACAGTTTCTTTCAGGTGAAATACTGAGAGCAAAAATCCTAGAGTAACCTCCGACATATGGATTCCAATCTGTGGTTTTCTCTATTTTCTAACAGGGTGCAACAAATATAATTTGTTTAAATGCAGCAGTAGCTCAAAGTTTCAAAGCAATTATGCTCGATGTAATGACCTTCGTATACCATTTGGAGCACCAGTGAAATGTCCAACAACTAATGATCAAGATTTCTATCGATTTGCTTAGAAAGCGCTAGTGAAAAAACTACCGACAGTAAGTTTTGTGAAACGTTGATGTCTCGGTATCCGAATCCTAACATATTTTTATCTCTGCAATGCTCAAGCGTTTTATCTCTTGCATTAATAACAAACTGTTATTTTGTTTAGGAATGCAATAGGTAAATTACTATGTTGTTCAAGAATTAATGGCGGATTTCAACCTGTATTTTGAAGAAATCATATCTCAGCTGAAAACAAACTCTGTTAATTCAAATAAAAGAGATTAGCCACAGATTTGTCTCACAGAGAGCATTCCTGCCAGTTAGACGAGAGGCAGCGTGATGCATGCACCCTCAGGTGGCGGATAGGTGGTTAATCGCGGACCAAAAGCGACGATATACTTCGCTGAGTGGAAGGTGGGTCCAGGAGATGGACTCCCTGTTTCTGCTGCGCCAATTTGGCACATACTTTCTGTATTTACGAGGCATATTCATGCGTGCGTGTGTGGGTGCGTTCTCGCTTGTGCGAATTGTATTCTACGAATCAATTTGGTCAAAAGCCTGCAATCAAGTGACAGGGAAGTATATGGGAGACGGTTAGGAGTCGTCTCCAGCAAACTGAGAGAGACTGGCAAGCTACCCGTGAGTATACCCAGCCCCACGTTTAGAGCCCAACAAGCTATACGTGAGTATCAAAAATTCTAAACGCAGTTAAAGAAACGGGCCTCATTACCCTGATCCCGAAAGAGCCCCCTATTCGGCAGCATTGGGTAGGACGGGTACGAAAGGGCTGCTAACATCTCAGGGTCTTTCTAAGCTGCCTAAATCGCAAAGAGCTAAGGTGACGACCTGTACTTACAATGCACGTACGCTTGCATCCGACTCCTCGATAGAAGACTTGCTCATGCAAGCAAGAAGGATAAGGCACGACGTCGTCGTTCTGGCCGAGACGAGAAGGCGCCACTCATTCAACGCCGCCTACAACACCGAAGAAGAACTGTTCCTCGCCACACGGGACAATAGAGGAGTCGGCGACATCGGCGTTCTCGTCAACACGAGTTTGTCCATGAACACCGATTCATTCGAACAACTTACAACCCGAATCGGATGTTTACGATTAAGAAGACGTGGATCAATTCCGGTTTTGACAATCTTCGTCGTTAACGCGCCGCCATCAACCTATGACGAAGAAGAAGACGAAGCGTTTTGTATAGGCTTGGAGATGTTCTACAGAGATGACCACACATTCTTCAAGGTTATTATTGGAGGTTTCAACGCTAAGGTTCGACCGAAAAGGACGGCTGAAGGACGTCACATTGGGACTAACAGATTAGAAAGGAACGAGCAAGGTGAACAGGTGTCCGAGTTTATCATGACGACCAAGACCATCCATGGTAACTCGCAATTCTGGAAGCCCCAGCTCAACGCTGGACGTAGGAGTCTTCAAATAGAGAGTACCATAACGAAATAGACCACATCATAGCAAATCTAAGGTATTGCCTAACCGATGTCGCTGTTGTCCTAAAATTCTACACGTGATCGGACCATCGCTTCTTTCGTACAAGATTTCGTTTTGCGAGAAAAAGAGAAAAGCCGCTAAATTCAAAAATAAAACGAAGTCCCAAAGCCAGTATAAACTGGATCTTATTCATTTCATTAGTCAGTGATTGAGCGTTCTTGATAGTATCGGCGAGGAATGCGACCGGCTCATAACATTCACACCTTGGCGCTATGAAAGCCGAGAGTTCGGAAGTCACCAAGCGAAGTCTGTCTTGAGAAATACTGGAGCTTGTAGTCCAAAGCAGAATCGCAGCGCTAACCACGAGAAAATGCCAACTCACATCAGAGCTTATAAAACAATACAGAAAGGCGATGAAAGAACACCTTAAAGGGAGAGGAGCAGAAGTTATGGTCGAAGCTACGGAGGCTTGGAAAACCATTCGCAAAGCCAATCGAAACTTCGCCATACAAAACCAAGACGACTGCATTCCTACACCTAGACGAAACGGAACAGAACAGCAACTACTGACTTCAGGAATGAAGTGGGGACACTCCCTTACTTTTGCTTGATGTATCTCTCTAATGGACACGTTTTTATGCCTTTATACGAAATAAAAAAGGATAGATATGTCTTTCACCGGTTCTTCCTTCTGAAATCCGACACGCTATTTCGTCGGAGAAGAATCGAATAACGTATGTGTCAGGAACCTGGTCGCTGTATAACCAGGATGAAAGATCACTCAGCCTTATAGAACAGGTAGTCGAAAGGAGGATGCTAAGAGTATTTGCATCGCCAAAATGGGAGAAGAGATCCTAAGCTCTTACCTACGTCAACTTTTGAAAATCAAGGACAGCGTTCTACACGCCAATCTGTCGAAGATAGGATTGGCTGGACACGTTATCTGTGCGAAGGACAACCGATGGACAGGAGCCGTCAGGGACTGGATTCGTCGGGATGTCAAACTCACGCCAGGAGGACTAGCGACCCAATTGCGAGATTTCCTCATGAAAAGCCTAGAAGAAAAGGAGTGATGCTCAACAAGTCTCCAGAGCGAGCATAACCAAATGGGCTACTCTTGCTGCTGACAAAGAATTTACTGGTGGCCGATTGATTCGTTCGACGATCAACAGGGCAACAGGGCACATTTGACAAAAGGTCTTAGAATTGCACATGTTTCCCATTGAGAAAAAAGCTTACTTATATCGGTTGCATGAAATCCTGGAATTCTGTTGCTGGTAAAGTTGTTGAAACCAGATTCGATCTTCGTTTTTGAAACACTTGCCGCACATGATGTTGTCGATATGCTTAGAGAGGTGGTAGTGTGTATTATAGTTGATAGCCCTGGAGAGTATGGCGAATGAAGTGAAGTTTCATATCCCAGCTCGTTCAACTTCTGCAGCAATGGTAGCATGACGTGTGACTGAGCGTTATCGTGCAGGAGCGTTGCTCCATTTCTATTGACCAATGAAAGGGGCAGCCGCTGAAGTTTCTGGTGCACTTTATTCGATTTCCTAAGTCAACTTTCTGGGTGTGATAATTTCTTCTGGATTCAGGAAATGTAATGGAGGAAATCAATAGAAGAGCACCAGGCGGTCAGCCCGACATTCTTTCGGTGGAATTTCGGCTTTGGAAGATGCTGCGGAGCTTCGTAGCAATTCAAGCACTGAGTCAATCGGCGTTGGTTAACCTAAAAGATCCATTTCTTATTGCACGTCATAATACAGTTTAGAAACGGGTAGTTCTATATACGCCGAAGAAGTTTTACTAAACAAAATTATAAGAGACGATAGTAGATGAAGTGAGCTTTGGATTGACATATAAGTGCAGCATTCGGAAAAAAAATTATGAGCAAAAATCAACTTTACCTTTACTGTTCAGCTACTGTTTTAACTGATATGTGTTTTAGAACGAGAAACAGGCTCAAAAACACATGGTCGACAAGCCAAATGTGCTTATTCGAGTGCACAAAGATGGACAAATCCTTTATTCGGTCCGGATTTCTCTAGTGTTGTCATGCCCGATGCATCTTCAGGTAGTACTCAATTTTGTTGGCTTCGATAGAGTTTTAAAGTATTGTGCCTATTATGCCTCTGTTCAAAGATGAGGACGAGAATACGTGGTCGTGGTGTACAGGTAGTACTCCACTTCTATGTCATCTCACAGCAGCAATTTATTATAATGAAGCAATACTAGTGAGCGTAGGAGTATTTTTATTACTTACTTTCAAAAGACAGAAAAAATAAGGCTAAAGAGCAATTACTGAGATTTACACTTAGCTGTGGATTTGGCTTGAAATTCTGCACCTCCACATAATTTGAGTGACCCTATTCAGAGTGCACGCCGTATACTTTTCCTTTGAAATCTAGTTGCTGAGAACTTCTCTATTACAACGTATCCGGTCAAGAACTTTCGTTGTCTTGACATTTAGTTTCAATGTAATAATATCTTACTTACTTGATACTTGATACTTGAACGGCCCGTCATCACTAGTCGTGCGGGCCGCAGCATAATCACCATTTTTCGGAGATTTGCTGGTTAAGCCATTGTGGTTTCCTGGAATCCCGAGGACAGCCTGGTCAAAGTTTGCTGCAGATTCTCACCACGATAGGCAGTCGCAGCTTTCGTGGATCAAAGGGAGATTTACCACCATGCGACTTTGACACCATGACGGTGGTGGATCCTGGTATTGGTTTACCCTTAGCAACGCTTCCTGATGGAAATGCCGGAATCCCTCTCAGCTTGGGAGACCCTGCCTGGAGGACGAATCCTCCCGCTGTTCATCGCAGTCCGACACCTAGGAACACCTCCAGCTACGATGAGGCGGTAAACCGTAAGGAGGGTAATAATAGTAATAACATCTAATCTTAAAAAAGTGACATTTCGATGAGCATTATGAGTGGGGGTTACAGCTATGCTAGGAAGTACTGCTTAATTATCATTAATTAAAATGGGGAGGAGGTAGCGCAGTGGTTATTGGTGCGGTGTATCAGGAAACAAGATTCTGGTCCAATCCCTTTTCCAGAGCACTCCTCCAATCCACTTAGAAACGCCTTTGCTCGGCTATCTCTAAAATTACAAGTGGAATGGATTGATTGGGGGCCAGCATTCTACAATATTCATGAAGAAGACGAAATCTCATACAGCAGCCGAAACAACACGCGAAATGTTCGAAAATCTTTCTGCACGATGAATGGTAGGAAGGCGAATTGAATACTAGAAGTACTGGGGTCTGCAGATTAGACCTGATGATGGGTCATGTAAATGTAAGTGTGAAATGTGATTTGTAATAGAAGCTCAGAATTTGAGAAGAAAATTGAATTCGAATATACACGGATCAGCGATCCAAATTACACGTAAATCTTGCTGATCGAGTTTCGAGATTCATTAGCTATTGTGGATTTTAATATTCTCTCAGCAGTATCATGCAACTTGAGCAGAAGTTCGAAATCTACAATCGAAAGCACAACTGAGAGGGAAACTATACCACGACGGAACCAAGTGTACCCGTGAACAGTGACTGACTATCTTTTTTCCCTAATCACCATAAACAGTTATCGCACCAAAACGCTGCTGTTTTTCACCCAGTTTGAGAGTTTCTTCAATAAGTTGTGCTGGTGGAAAACAATGTTGCTGGCGAAGAATGTTTCAGTTGCGTTAATTTCAGCTACTTGGTACTTTATCAGATTACTGTTACTGTAGGTGATGAAGCAGAAAGCAGGAAAATAATTCCAAATTCAATGTCTCATTTGCACCGCTGTCTTTTTTTCACCAGTAGTCGATTCGTTTTATGACATTAAATGAAGAAACCAAGTGTGCTGATTTTCAATACTTTACGTAATCTGTTCATTACAGTACTACCCAATGGATGTGCAAACGTGTCTGATTGACCTCGCCTCATATGCGTACACTGACAACGACATTGGTTCGTTTTCGACTAATTATTTGCTATTTATTTAATTACTATCACTATGATATTAAATCAGATTTTTTATCGAGCAGATGAAAACTTGTAGCTCAACAACTGCGTGGGTTACGCGGGCTCACCTACCTCTTTGAACTGTAACGCCATGTTTCGTCTTCTTGCACTAAATTGTCAATCCATTAAATCTTTTGCTGCAACATTCACTTAGTAGAATAGTCACAAAAATGGTCGTGGAAATGTTGACGTTGCTACAGTTTCGTGGAAGAATAAAGGATACAGCTGTCGGTGTTGATCGTTCTCTAAGGGATGTACTATGCATTCGTCTCCACTCATAAAATTAAGGAAGCGATTAAATGCGCATTTATCCAAGGCAGTGGCTGGCGGAAGCCTATCAATGTATCAAGTCAGTGCTGCCACCTATTTAGACAGAACTGGTACCTATTTTCCGGCCCTGGAAGGGTGGAAGGTTTAGCGACCTTGGGGTGTGGGACTAAACCATGCACTACATGTCTTTTCCACGCCACATTTAACCGCTGTGCTACAGGCGCTTTTCACAGACTCTTACAGAAAATTGAACAAATTTTAGAATCACCAGTTTTTCTTGCAACTTGTTTGTTGTTTGGAACAGTTTCCTAGAAAATCTGCTTGATTTTGTGTAATTCTTAGTTCCACTTTTGAAGGCCACCTGGCCAAACATTTAGCTGCACCACCTGACATTTTTTACTATTCTTTTTATTGCCGTAGACATTTAAAATGATAGAATTATAACGTTTTATAATGCCATATTTAACCTATATCTTTGACCCATTTTTGACGGGTCATTTTATTTTCGTGCCGAGTTTTCACGCCTCGTCGGTACGTTCCTCTCATCTATAAGCCATCAAATAATTCAGGCAAACGCCAGTAAAGCCGCTTTATAGTTGATCACTGAATTCTGCTTCTCCAATAGACACAAAAGCCTTTATATTTTATAACATGTTTGCGAAGTCTGGCGATCTTCAAACGTTACCGTCTCATAAATCAGGCAATGACGTCCTCTACCCTTCAGCTTCGATTCCAGCATTCCGAGATGTTCCTTAAGATGGAAGAAACTGTTGGGTCGAAGAGCAGTTAATAGAGACTACTGTAACCTTTTTTTTCTGCTTCAGTATTCATTTGGTAGTGTTCTAACATTAAAGTCTAGCTGATAATAACACCGACTTCTGCACGATGTGCGCGATGATTATGTCCGGACGAAAAACAAGTTGTTATCACCGGACATTATCATTATATCCACCATTAGCATCGTGTATAAAAGGGCATCACTGAGTAAGGATGCCTCATTCGAGGAGACGGCTCACTGAAGAAGACCTGACTCGACACGAGGGCGAAGCTGCCACGTCGAGATGAATAACAAGCGAGGACCATCGACTCGGATCATTGGCTCTGATGAAGACGACGACGTCGAAACGTTAGCCAAAAATAAACATCATGATCAACCTCGTGTAAGCTCATCAAAGAAAGAATACATATTGATTAAAGTCTTTTGTTTTCTCAAATCAAAAATGACAACGGTGCAGTTTCATCACGGCGGTGCGACCTAGTAAAACAGAAATAGTGCTAGAAAGAGGTAAGAGCTCGAGAGAAAGGCTTAAAGAATACAGTTAGGTTAGATATTAAGTGAAATGAAGTCGTTAAGTCGCGTTGGGCAATATAAAACATATATGAAGCGCAGTGAGGGGAAGGACGTTGGCCCCATGAGAGATTTATCCGACAAACTGTGCTACCACGAATGTGTCAGGCAAATGAGTGCACATGTTTGTTCTGCATGTAAACTAATTTTTGACGTTTCTTGATCGAAATGTGGATTCTTTAGAATTATCAGTCGCTTACTTTTCGCCCATCTGTGACCAATATTTTTCATGCGGTCCCATCAGTTCTACTTGTCAATTGCTCTGTAACTGCTTCGTATAATGAACGGTTCTTATGCGAGTGAAGCCGTGGAGATTTGTCGTGTTCTTTATTCATGGACACGTCGAATTGATGATGATGGTCATGTGTGGCTCTTTTCAGGATTCTTAGATAGTAACGTTATGTTATTTTCATAACTTAACCACAAACCAACATCAACTATTGAGGATCAGAGAAAAGTTTCCTGTACTGAGAATGTAGTGAACCCTGCTGCTAGTGGAATGGTTGTCCTAGGTGATGAAGGAGGCCAATTCCTTAGACTATATTTAAAATTTTGTAAAACGATTGCTCAGACACAGTTTCCTCAGTGCTCCAAAAAAAAGTTTTTTTTGCCTAACCAACAACCTGTAAACATGAAGAAAACATCTGAGGACCATGTAAATAAGTATAACTGCAATTTAATAACCCATTTATTGTGCTCACACCCTCCATTTCTTAGTGCAGCTGCTTTGTGTGACTTATTGCTGCTAATATTTTACAGAATATCGATGGAAGGAGACGGATCCTGTTCAACTCAAAGATGGGCTAAACTCTTCATTGCCAAGTTTTCAACTAAACAACGTAAAATACACGTATTCGGCTAATAGTTTTCATGATAAAATGGCTGGTTTTAGGTGTCAACTACTTATTGCACCAGTAAGACGAATACGGGAACATACTCTTGCTTGCGAACAATTTTGGAACTGAGGAGGCAGTTCAGGTCTAGTAGCTGAATGGGAGGATCGCTGAATACTAATCAGTTCCATTTTTCACGTCTTTTAAATATCACTTTTAGCTATTATTTACTGCAACTCTACATACCGTCCACAATGTTAGTAATCGTGTCCTGGGTGTCGTTCTGGTTGGATAGAACGGCAGTGCCAGCTCGTGTCACTCTTGGTGTCACCACGCTTCTCACAATGACCACTCAGGTATAGTGGAGATTTTTGAGATCTCTTTAACAACATGGTCGCGATCGAGCGGATATTTGATCAAATGTATCACCTGTCTTCATATTGATTGTCGAGTGACTCGAGCGGGTGGCCAATAAAATTCCATTTCTCCCTATAGAGTGCAAGAGTAGCCCGGCAAGTTTTGCTGCTCTAGGAACTAGTTGAACATCATACCTTTTTCCTATGCTTTTCGTGAAGAACTCTGACCATCGGGTCGGTGGTGTTCCTATATGACATCCCGATGGATCCAATTGCTAACGGCGCTTCCTATCGGTTGTCGTTCATACTCATTTCGTGTCCGGCGCACCTTATCTTTTACAATTTGAGGTATAGGACGGCATCTTCGGTTTTTAATCGTTGATGCAGGTCGCAGCTTCGGATCCCTTCCCTTCCTTGTGTGAAATGGGATACTCTTAGCATCGTCCTTTTGAGTACGCGTCCAATAACGCTAAATGAACTTTCAACCTGCTTACGCAGCTTCCAGGTTTTTGGCGCATACCTTAAGGCAGGAAGTGCTGTTGAGTCGAAAGGTCGGACACGGAGTCAAGTGTTCTTTGCTCTCCTAAGTACATCGTCGACGTTCTTGAAAGCTCTCCAAGCCGTTTGCTTCCTCGTGCTCAACTCTGGAGCTGGTCGTTCGTCACCCTTCATTCCCGACCTAGAAAGACGTAGCTGGAGCATGCAGAGGTATTTGCAGCGCTGAGCGCGAGTAGAGCATGCGAAACCAATCTGTTCCTCGTGAACATCATTTTTGTGATATTTAGCCAAAGGCCAATTTTCCCACAGGCTTTATCAAAGTCAGCAAGCATTCGTTCCGTACGACTAATGTATGGTGTTATAAGAATGATGCCATTAGCAAAGCGAGGATAGTGTAGTTGCCGACTATTGATCATCGATTTTCATTCCTATGTTGTCTCATTCCAGTGCTCGCAAGATGTTTTCGAGGACGGCGGTAAATAACTTTGATGAGTTGACATCTCCTTACCAAACCCTTCTTTTAAAGTCAATGTTAATATTATTGTAGAATGGCGAAATTTTTGTTGTGAAGTTTTTATACAGCTTAGGAAAATTCTTTATATGCTGAGTACACCCTGCCCATCTAGGGCTTCCATGACTACTATCTCAAATGTGACATGATTTTCTTTAAATCGATAAAAGTGAGACAGAACGGTTCTTGTACTCTCTCGATACTTCTGTGAGTCTTGTTATCGTGTGGATGTGGTCGCTCTTAAATTGTTTGACTTTGAATTGAATTCTTTTCAAAACTCTACTAGCTCACATGATTGTCTTTCGTTCAGTGTTTCGTTCTTGTTAATCATGTTCAGGATAATACGAGCGAAAAATTTGTAGACGGCACTTAGTAAGGAGATTGTGTGATAGCCCCCGATATAGCGAAGGTCACCCTTTTTGAACAATAGCGCGTAGCGCTGCCTTCCTGGTCTTTCACTGAGTAAGAAACTTGCAGGTGTCTATGGTGGGGAACGAACGCGCTATTGTCCTAGGACAATAGCGCGTTCGTTCCCCACCATAGACACCTGCGGTCCAGAGTTTTGCAAATATCTCAGCAACGTTGTGTAAGAAACTTGCATTCAGACAGGTAACGTATGGAAACCAGAGCCAGTGTACTTGTGAGAAATGGCAGAAGGTTCTCTAGGTGTTCAGATCTTTTCCCGTCCGGCCCAAGTGTTGTTCGATTCTTCGCCGACGGAATAGCATGTCGCGCTTTGAAAGAGGGACTTTTTCACATTTTCTGATAATTTTTCGATAAGCAGGCGTGTAACGGAGTGATTAGAGATGCGCTGCAATACGCGGTTAGTCTTTTGTTCAATCGGTCCTACGTCCTGGACTCATCAAGCTTTCATCCTTCCAAGGTTAGTAAATTGCCACCGCGCCATTCTGGGAGAGAACCAGCAATGGCTGTATGCGTTGGTAGGCCACCACAGGTCATTGTGTGGGCTAGGTTTGTATTCAGTCACTTTTGCGTTACTACGAATGGAGTCGGATGCATGGCGCATACCTGGAATGGTGATGAACTGCGAAGGCTTTGTATTTTATGTTATCCTTTCATTTCTTGACAACTATAACACTGAAGAATTGAGGACGTGGAAATCTTACTTTGTTTCTGGATTTTTAAATGAAAACTAGGAACAAGAATCAGTACAAAGAACGAATTTTAAAAGACTAAGTAGAACCACAACAACCACAAACATCGCTGGCGCATTCTAGAATAATCTCTTGTATTAGTTGAAAATCAACCTTCCCAATTGCTTTGGTTTACGAAATGCGGCAGTCAGAAGTTAAGATTGAAAGTACGACGGATTCTTCAGGTCCAGAAAGGTAGCATTTCATCTTGATAAAATCTGAAAATTTGTGCTGTGTTTTAAACCTCTAGGTCTTCGAATTAAAATTTTTTTTTGCGTGACCCGACATCAAATGTTGTGCAGATCGCAGCCATTCTTGCATTCTTTTTTTGCATCCATCATACACAGAGGTTTTTAAACAACTCCGTGTAGGTCTGGATAGTGTCAGAGAATACCCGCCTTCTTTATGGATGTCTTTGACTGCTGGTCGAGTCAATTCGCCCTGGCACACTGTTGGATAGCAATACTGGGCGCTTCATGCGTCCTAAGATCAAGGCTAGAGTCCATCCACAAGCAGTTACTCGCATTTGCCGATCGGGGAGAACTTCCTAGACAAGTCTGATGACGATTTCCCAATCTCAGTGGAGTAGGAGAGTTAATTGTCCACTGAAAACGGTCCAACCAGAAACCTTGCACCTAGCATTGTGCGGCGTCATTACTGCTGCGCTTTTTATCCCCTAATTACTTTAACCTAATTTTACCTGTTTCGCTATAAACATAGAATTTTATTTTCTGCAAGTTTTTTTTAAATATATAGGCTTCCGGTATCAATGCCAAACTACCACCGGTGTCGTACACGAAGGCGATCGACGTCTGGATTGGTGCCTGCCTCATGTTCATCTTCGGCGCGTTACTTGAATTTGCCTGGGTGACATACATCTCTTCAAGAGCATTCCACATAGGCAAGTTTCAGTTATTTCCCATAGGAGCCTTAAAGTTGCAACACAAAATTTCTCGCTCTTTAGATTTGTTTGAGGGGCCTTAGCTGGCTAGTAGATGCTAGGGAAATGATGAAAAGAAAAATGGTGTGCTAAATAGCGTTCTTGTTTTCGCTTATTAAGAGCACCAGAACATATTTTTCGCTACAGGTAAACAGATTAGGAACTTATGGCATTAAAAAAATGGCAACAAATTCAGACCAGTTTGTTTGAACAAATTTGACGTCGTTTTTCATTTAAAAGCAATAAAACTCTTCTGCGACTTAAACAAGGCAATAATGGGTTTCTTCTACGGTAAGCGATAAATTTTCGATAACTAGGAGTGTAAGATTGTGAACAGCGGAAATTTATAGAGGATGCTTTGCTTGCTTTCTCTAAGGGTGTATCATATTGCTACTACATGTTGTGTATTCTATTGTAGTTCAGTTGCCCAGCACATTGGTGTAAATATTTGGAAGTATTCAATGTTTTTCATCAATAAGCAGACACGAGGTTGTCACACGAGGTTTAATATAGAATTTATTAGAACACAATTGCTGACGTTTCGGCGGTTTCGCCTTCTTCAGAGCCGTTTATTTGTTGTAAGTATTTAAGTCAGTTGGTGGATAGCCGCCGCACAGAGTAATACATGGTCGATAACTGTTATTATCAATTAATGAGATGCTGGGAGATGAATCTTCCCGTTGTACATTGCAGCCCGACACCAGAGAACACCTTCCAGCCATGATGAGCCGCTAAACAGTTAGGAGGATAATTTTTATTAGAGAAATCAAAGTCGTGGTTTTACTATTTTTGAGGAATATTCTAGAAGATCTGGGCGTATAAGGCACGCACTTATCAAGTTTTCATCATTCTATATCCCGTATCGTTTTCTTCTTCTTCCCGCTATTTCTATGCTATCGATTTTACTGCCTGTAAGTAATTTTCAAGAGCATCAAGGATGTAGTGAGGAGGACGAAGAACACCTTACTCCGCGCCCACTTTTTCGACTTAATGGTACTTCCTGCCCTAATGTATGCGTCAGAAACCTGGTCGCTGCGTAAGCAAGATGAAAGATCACTCAGCGTTATTGAACACGCAGTGGAAAGGATTGCGCCAGTACTACCCGTATCATACAATTGAGAGGGTTCCGAACCTCTTTCCTGCGTCAACGATCAAAAATCAAGGATGTCATTATGTGTGCCAAACTATCGAAAATCTTTTTTTCGAAACCGACCTTCCCTAAACCTCGGTGTGACTAAACAATATGTATTATTTCTTGATAAGCTTGCACGAGGTTGATAAATATATTTATTTTCGGCTAACGTTTCGACGTCTTCGTCTTCCTCAGAGCCGGTGATCCGAGTCGATGGTCCATGCTTGTTTTATATTTTTTTTTATTTAATAAATATATAATATAAATTTTTTTAATAACTATANAGCGTAGTAATATTTCGAAACCGACCTTCCCTAAACCTCGGTGTGACTAAACAATATGTATTATTTCTTGATAAGCTTGCACGAGGTTGATAAATATATTTATTTTCGGCTAACGTTTCGACGTCTTCGTCTTCCTCAGAGCCGGTGATCCGAGTCGATGGTCCATGCTTGTTTTATATTTTTTTTTATTTAATAAATATATAATATAAATTTTTTTAATAACTATATTTATCAACCTCGTGCAAGCTTATCAAGAAATAATACATATTGATTAGTCACACCGAGGTTTAGGGAAGGTCGGTTTCGAAATATTACTACGCTTTGTGCTAGCTGATAATACACCAACCTCTGCACGATGTGCGCAATGATGTATGTCCGGAAGAAATACAAGTTGTTACCACCGGACATTGTCATTATATATCCACCATCAGCATCGTGTATAAAAGGGCATCACTGAGTGAGGATGCCTCATTCGAGAACATGGCTCGCTGAGGAAGATCTGGCTCGACAGGAAGGCGAAGACGCAACGTCGAGGCGAACAACAAGCATGGACCATCGACTCGGATCACCGGCTCTGAGGAAGACGAAGACGTCGAAACGTTAGCCGAAAATAAATATATTTATCAACCTCGTGCAAGCTTATCAAGAAATAATACATATTGATTAGTCACACCGAGGTTTAGGGAAGGTCGGTTTCGAAATATTACTACGCTTTGTGCTAGCTGATAATACACCAACCTCTGCACGATGTGCGCAATGATGTATGTCCGGAAGAAATACAAGTTGTTACCACCGGACATTGTCATTATATATCCACCATCAGCATCGTGTATAAAAGGGCATCACTGAGTGAGGATGCCTCATTCGAGAACATGGCTCGCTGAGGAAGATCTGGCTCGACAGGAAGGCGAAGACGCAACGTCGAGGCGAACAACAAGCATGGACCATCGACTCGGATCACCGGCTCTGAGGAAGACGAAGACGTCGAAACGTTAGCCGAAAATAAATATATTTATCAACCTCGTGCAAGCTTATCAAGAAATAATACATATCGAAAATCTGCTGGATCGGAAACATAATGCGTATGAAGGACAAGCGATTGAGAAGAGCTGGTAGCAACTGAATTCTTTGGAATGTCATAGAGGAGGAGGATCGCGGACCCGATGGTCAGGGTTCTGTGCAAAACCCTTGATGTTCAACGAGTCTCTAGAGCAAGGAAAATCCACTGGGCTAGTGTGCGTCTTATCCTCATTTGATTGCTGCTAAAAACTTCCCGTAAGAGATGATTTCCAACATTAGTTTAGTCAGTCAAGGACGTTTTTTCACTAGCTACACTCTCTGCTTTATACTCTCTTCAAAATCAAATTGTTCCTCGTCGCAAAATTAGCTGGTCCAGAGGGAGGCATAACATGTATGCTGGACAATCTGTAGATGGAAAGCAAGCAATGCGGCGAAAAATCACTGCGAGTTGCTGAAGAGACGTGTACTGATTTCAGCACGCATGGTTCATTATGTCTTAAAGACGGCAATGATCCAGTTGGGAGCTCTTCAGACATGAGTACTATGAATATTTAAATCATGCTTCGGAAACAAGAAGGAAGAACCAAAGACACTAGCGAATGAGCTGTCACCAAACTAGGTCATGTTGGAATAACTAATCGTGGTTGCCACGTCTCCATATAATAGCTCTCTACGTATCACATAATAAAGTGCAGAAAAGCGAATTGCAAGAGATGCTCACGAAGAAATCTTAAACCTTTCGAAACATTTATCGCAGTTGCTAGTGGAATTAGGTTTTAGAGTCTGTTCTCGGCACCGAATGACCATTAGCTTTGAGCAGATTGCTCAACGTCGTAGGAGGATGCCACGCAGGACTTTTTCGTATTTATCGCAGAACAATATCTCAAAATTGGATAATTAAACCTTTTTCAACAATAATAATTCAGGAATAACGATATGTGGACATCGATACAATACAGACTGCTATGTGGTATCATGATCAATAAGTGAGGGTAAGGCTAGTTAATAGCTTCGCTATAGGCTAGTGAAACAATACTATGTGCACACGGAATACATCAATGGTGTCACAATATGTATGCATACTAAGAGATTCATGTAACGCCGTAAAACCGGACTCACGAATAACAGTGCTATAAGGTTACGCACTACATATAGGTTTGTGATGTCGTTCTGACGAGATTATCATGTTAAGAGATACATGTATCCTAACGAGACGAATAGGATAGTAACTTATGGGGCCATTTAACTATCTTCTGGAAGAGGCGGTGTTTTCGTCCAGGTCCAAAATTTTTATCGAAAATATTCATCCACTTCCGCTTCCAACTCTCTTCTGACCAGATCAGATAACAGAAGACGGTTTCCCAAACGACTTCATGCCTTTCGTGTTATTGTACACGTGGAAGCTTCGAACAGAAATAACACGAAAGGGTTCCGATCGCACAAAGAGGTTTGCATTATAAAGGCTTTTTGTCACAAACAAAGCTTCTCAGAATGAAGTGATAACATTTACACGCTGTAAGATTGCAAAGCGATACGTGGAACAACGGATGTGGTTACTGTAAGAACATGCGATAAATGAAAGAATAGTAACTATTCTGGCAATAATTGCTATGACATTGTTTTCGTTTTCAATTTATGTTTTATAAAGAATAAGAAAAGATGAAGTATTCGTATTGATTCATCTCCTTATTGATGTATTTGGCTCTGTTATGCATCATAGAGGTAGTCGAGTGCATATCTAGCGTACACTGTGGCTCGTGGTGGCCTATCGATGTATCAAGTCTGTGTTTCTACGTTTTCTTATCCTTCCAGACCGACTCAAATTGAAGTTACTTTCCCAGGAACAAAAATAGATGGGAAATAAGACTTCTTGCTTTCTTTGCAGTCCTACCGTCAGATAGAATTTTTTTGGTATTCACTCGTACTTTTACTGCGTGAGGATGAAAAGCCCATAAGAATTAGGAAAGAAGATTTGCGGTGCTAAGTAATATAATTAATTGATCACATGAATTGGCGTTTCAAGTGTGAATTCGATGTATAGCTGGTTTATTGACTTGTGAAAGTCTTGTCGTTTCAGACCGAACATCCTACCAGTGGTATGACTTCTGACCAACAGCGCACAGCCAAGCATAAATTTACTTACGAATAAATTTATTGATTTCCAGAGACATTTATAGAAAACACAGAGCGCAAATAAATAGAAGTTGAATAAAGGAGTTGAATGCATGGAGCGTTCCTCCGGAATTGATCCGAGCACCTTATTCGTAGTACCTTTCTATAAGAAATGTGGGCAGTTTGCAGCAAGTCGAGCAAATCCACGTGCCAGTCCGCTGCTGCTTTCTAATCAGCAGGCCATTCTTCCGCATACCAGGGTAAGTCATTTCAGTTCTTAGTTTCTAGATATCATTCCTCGGAATCGCCTTTTAGAACGCTCGGTTTTTCTTCGTGAATATCATACGAAACGCTATGATTTTTTAACTGCGGCGTTCATCGTATTCGAGTGGACATATGATCTTTCAGATGGATTACGGAACGAATATGGACAGCGACATATGGGTGAAACATAAGCGTTTTGACGATGTTGCTGAACTGCTAGTGCTAGCACCAC